GGCACCTTCGATATGATGTCACGGTGGTCACGATCAGTTCGGCAACTTCGATATGATGTCACGGTGGTCACGATCAGTTCGCACATTCGATATGATGTCACGGTGGTCACGATCAGTTCGGCACCTTCGATATGATGTCACGATGGTCACGAACAGTTCGGCACCTTCGATATGATGTCACGGTGGTCACGATCAGTTCAGAACCTTCGATATGATGTCATGGTGGTCACGATCAGTTCAGCACCTTCGATATGATGTCACGGTGGTCACGATCAGTTCGGCATCTTCGATATGATGTCACGGTGGTCACGATCAGTTCGACGACTTCGATTTGGGGTCACGGTGGTCACGATCAGTTCGGCACCTTCGATATGATGTCACGGTGGTCACGATCAGTTCGGCATCTTCGATATGATGTCACGGTGGTCACGATCAGTTCGACGACTTCGATTTGGGGTAACGGTGGTCACGATCAGTTCGGCACCTTCGATATGGGGTCACGGTGGTCACGATCAGTTCGGCACCTTGGATATGGGGTCACGGTGGTCACGATCAGTTCGGCACCTTCGATATGATGTCATGATAGTCACGATCAGTTCGGCACCTTCGATATGATGTCACGGTGGTCACGATCAGTTCGGCACCTTCGATATGATGTCACGGTGGTCACGATCAGTTCGACGACTTCGATATGATGTCACGGTGGTCACGATCAGTTCGACGACTTCGATTTGGGGTTACGGTGGTCACGATCAGTTCGGCACCTTCGATATGGGGTCACGGTGATCACGATCAGTTCGCACATTCGATATGATGTCACGGTGGTCACGATCAGTTCGGCACCTTCGATATGATGTCATGATAGTCACGATCAGTTCGGCACCTTCGATATGATGTCACGGTGGTCACGATCAGTTCGGCACCTTCGATATGATGTCACGGTGGTCACGATCAGTTCGGCACCTTCGATATGATGTCACGGTGGTCACGATCAGTTCGCACCTTCGATATGATGTCACGGAGGTCACGATAAGTTCGGCACCTTCGATATGATGTCACGGTGGTCACGATCAGTTCGGCACCTTCGATATGATGTCACGGTGGTCACGATCAGTTCGGCACCTTCGATATGATGTCACGGTGGTCACGATCAGTTCGACGACTTCGATTTTGAATCACGGAGTTCACGATCAGTTCGGCGACTTCAATATGAGGTTATGGAGGTCACGATCAGTTCGCACCTTCAATATGGGGTCACGGTGGTCACGATCAGTTCGACGACTTCGATTTGGAATCACGGAGTTCTAGATCAGTTCGGCGACTTCAATATGAGGTCATGGAGGTCACGATCAGTTCGCACCTTCGATATGATGTCACGGTGGTCACGATCAGTTCGGCACCTTCGATATGATGTCACGGTGGTCACGATCAGTTCGGCACCTTCGATATGGGGTTACGGAGGTCACGATCAGTTCGCACCTTCGATATGGGGTCACGGAGGTCACGATCAGTTGCGTCCTTTTGAAAGCTGTGTGATTCATTTGGTTTGAGTTCGTTTGATATCAAGTTATAAACTTTCGGTCTGTAAATGGAAAATGCCCTCGTGATTTTTTTGACAAAAAAAACATTTCAGACTACTTTTTAAAAAAAACAAAACTTTTATTTTTTAAAGAGTAGTTGCATCATTTAGTTTGGATCAGTCATGTATTTAAATTTGTAATAGATTTAGAGTTGTAAACTAACAATAATTAATCTCTGCGATTAAAAATATCTTTACCAATTGTTTTTTTTTTTTGTTTTTTTTTTTACTTTACCGAAATTTCATGCTTTTAGCTTTCTCAATACGCTATGATCCTATCACTTGTCTGGACCAGTTAAGAAAAAAAAAGAAAGGGGGGGGGAATGAAGAATGATGTGTCTGGGTGAAGGTTGCATTGATCGCTTTTTAAATACATTTATATAAAAAAAAAGTTGAACGACCTGAATTGGAACCCGAGGGCTAAAGCCTCCTCAGACTCCTCAAGCCAGTACTCTAACCACTGTGCGAAGGAAGTGCTTATGAAAATTATTTTTTGTTATAGTTATCTATTGTTAGTTTCTCTATTTTTTCTTTATACAAAGTATAGAAGGGACTAATTCAACGTGTACCACCATATCAGTCAATTACAATTTTTATTTCCTTTGTTCGAGATACCAAATAAAATAATTACCAATAGTTCATTAGCTTTTTTTTTAATCGATTCCTGTTTTGTCATGTAAAAAAAATAATTGTGTAAAATTTCAGCTTGATCCGAAATTGGGTGTGGGAGAAATAACGTGTACAAACTTTTTACCGGACAGAGTAAGTTGATAAAAACTTTGCAAAAAGTGTGATCATTTGTTTCGTGTGTCATCCAGATTATTCTAGAGGGATTTTTGCTTGTGCGGATAAGCGTGTTGCGGGTTAAATAGATCAACAGTGATGCAAACTTTGTCCTGCTGTTGTATTAAGCAAAACTAGCCAGATCTAACTGGGTTTAGTACATAATTTTAGTCCAAGCAAACGTGGCGTAACGGAGTGTTTCTTTTACAATCTTGGGAAGCTATAAACGTCTTGTGTGTGTTTCAATGCAAGAATGTTTGGTGGGTATGGTACTTCAGATTTGAGCGCTTGTCAGCCTTAGTGTTTATGTGATTACAACCCAATTCATGACTGCCAATCACGTGTAGGCAGGCCTAGAGCTTATAACTCGAGAGAGTTTTGTTTTAAGTATCTGTCTATCTGTCTATCCATCTATCTGTACATCCATTAATTCATTCACCAACCTACCTATTTTTATTTATGTCTGTCTGTCTGTTCATAAGCTTGTTCCTCTGTCTGCTAATATGTTTGCCTCTGTTTGTCTGTCCATCTGTTTTTCCCACTGGCTCTGTTCCTCTGAGTGTCTGTGTTTGTTGAATTGTCAGTCAGTGTTAGTGCTGTCAACTTGGTGTTGTGACTTTATTAGTCCAGAGATTGCTGTACGTGTGTATGACACCAGCAGGCACTGTTGACTTTGTCCAAATAGCTTTGGCTTGTCTCGGAGAGTTGTCTTTCCTTGCACCAGTACCAAACGACCAGTAAAAAGAAATATTCAAGAAAAGGTTAAAGTTTAATTTGGGTAGATTTTGTTTGTTTACTTACTTAGACTTTGATTCTTTGTCATAGCTTAGAGCTAATATTCTAAGTAATCATGCTGTGTTATTAAATTTGTGTATTTGCCGACTTAAAGCTAGTTAATAGTTGTATAATAGGAGTCGTGGTTCAATTATGTTGTATGTTTGCATTGTCTAGAACAGTGTTTCCCAAACTGTGTTCTGTGGAACCCTACTGTTCTCCAGATCCTGATTAGGTGTTCCACAAACTATGGTTCTGGAATAATTAACTAGTTGGTCACCACAAGAATTAATCTCTTTAAAAAAATAAAGTGTTCCGCTAAATACTCAGAATGTGCGTAGTGTTCCGCTAAGGAAAAAGTTTGGGAAACACTGGTGTAGAATTCTTCTTCTTTCTCATTGTTATGCGTTCTCATTGCTATGTTGGAGCATTCAGATGACTAGACCAATATATGGATGAACTGCGCAGTGGTTTCCAAATCAGGGAGCTCTCCATATAGTTTTTTCTTTCTATTGGGTTGTTTTGGGGCCAGTGTCTTATACGGGCCTCTTGGTAAAGAGATCAGTTTTTGGAGGACACTGGTGTAGAATAATCTGCTTCTTTTTTATCTCAATAAAAAACATGTTGTTATTTTTAATGTGGTAAAGTTCCTAAATCTGTTTTTTATTCCTTTCTTTTTACTTTCTGTTTTTAATATGATGTAGAATACTTAATAAAAATATTTAATTAAAAGAATGTAGCTGTTTAATAAATGACAATTTTTTTTTGTTTACAGGAGTTATTTTTACAGTTTACTGTATTCTGTATTTCAAGGACCTGAGATTTAGCAAATACTAGAAACTGGTTAAAAATGCTGATTCAAATAATGAGTGGGTCAGTTTTAACTCCTATGCTTCTTGGATACCAGCCCTTACACCTGTACTATTTGTTTTCATATTGATGCTGTTATGCCTTTACTGAAAAGCAGGATCATAATGGGATTTACCAAAGCGGAAAGGATAGCTTTGAAAGAGAAGTAATACCAGACATTTTTGTTTTAGAGTTGTTTCCCCTTGTGGGAAAGGGATTATCCTTTCTAAGGTTTCTGTGATAAAGAGTGCATCCCATACCCATTTTCCTGGTACCATGCTGTTGTCTATGATCAGACCCCTGTGCAAGTGGCACCTGCTGATGGCTGTGGCTCTCCTTGACCTGGCACTCATCTTCACTAGCATCTGCAACAACCCAGAGGATGTCCAGGAGAGACGCCTGCAGCAGGTTCTGGCCCGTAGCAGGGAGGTGGCCCAGGCTGTGCAGGAGACGCGTGATGAACTGGAAGCATTTCTGAAGTCTGAGAAATGGCGGCTTCAAGCCTTGGAACATATTGATCAGGGACTCACTGACCTAGAGACGCAATTAGGCAGGCTAAGAGCAGTGAATGAAGGGACATAATATTTCTAAACTGACAAGAGTCATCTGAACATAATAGGATTGGATTATCCTTTACGATGTTATTATTCCTCAGATATGTTGCTGTCTAACATTCGACATGAAGGGCAAAAACTTATTGAAACAATTTTGTGATTCACCAAAAATAAAAAAGTGCTTTTTACATTTTTACTGATATTCTAAATTGTGATATTGTTTCCCCCCCCCCCCAACCTTTCTTTAGTGAGATTTGTTTCTTATTTTCATGGACTAGGACTTACTTTTTTAAATAGGAATTGGAAGGATAGCTTAGCCTGACAAGAACTTATATCTATGTTTGTTTATTTGATTTAATCTGATCTGCATTTAAAATAAAATTCAATTAATTCTTTGCTTTGAGCACACATGTTCTCCTTGGTGTGTGTGTTGTATGACTTGACAAGTGTGTGCACTTCAGTCTTCAAGTCATGTTGTATGACTTGACAAGTGTGTGCACCTAAGTCTTCAAGTCATGTTGTATGACTTGACAAGTGTGTGCACTTGAGTCTTAAGTCATGTTGATATAGCTGATAATGAACTCTATTCAATTGTTCTATTTGTTTCAAAACAAACTTTGACATACCTCCTAGCAATTCAAACAATGAAGTTATCATATACATCATGGAGATCTAATTGTCATTTGGAAATAGTTCAAAGCAGTGGCGTAGCAAGGTACCCATGAACATGTAGCAAGGTACCCATGAACATGTAGCAAGGTACCCATGAACATGTAACAAGGTACCCATGAGCCCGTAGCAAGGTACCCATGAGCCCGTAGCAAGGTACCCATGAGCCCGTAGCAAGGTACCCATGAGCATGTAGCAAGGTACCCATGAGCCCGTAGCAAGGTACCCATGAGCATGTAGCAAGGTACCCATGAGCCCGTAGCAAGGTACCCATGAGCCCGTAGCAAGGTACCCATGAGCCCGTAGCAAGGTACCCATCAGCCCGTAGCAAGGTACCCATGAGCCCGGGTTCAAGAATATGTTTGAGGGCCCCCCCCCCCCACCTCTTCCAATAAGAGAAATTTAGAGTGTGACAAAAAATTTAGTAGTCTGTATGCATCGCTACATTTACCAAAAGATATTTCAATTTTTTTTCTTCTTGACTGTAGTGTACCTGGTATATTTGTAACAATTAGAATAAGAAAGAATGCTTTTTTAAAAACAAAACTTATTTAAAAGAACAGCTAATTACTACCATTTATCTCAATATGGCTGCATTATTAAACATTTTTATTGGGTTTTCCAAAAATGCAATTATTTTTTCCACTTTGATTTAGTCCACATTTGGGCTCAGGTAGGCCCCAATTAATCTTGAGAAATGGGCTCAAATGCAATAAACCCTTTGCACCATGGTTGCTATGCCACAGTCTGTGGGCCCCCAATGGTCATGGGCCCAGTTCATTGAACGCCTTCGCGCCATGGATGCTACGCCACTGGTTGAAAGGTGTTTCTCTTAAAATTATGATCTTTTCATCTAATTTGTGATGTTTTGGTCAAGAGAGGATGTTTTCATCAAATGCTTAATGTTTTGGTCCACACTTTAATGTTTTGTTCTACAGTGTGATATTTTGGTCTGGAGTGTGATGTTTTTTGGTCTAAAGTGTGATATTTTAGACAAGTTTTTTTGGTTGTTATTTACAGTGGGATCTTTAGATCTAGAGTGCTGCCTTAAGTCAAATGTTAAAACACTTTTAAATATGCATAATTCATTTTAGTGGTGAACCTCATTAAGAACTGGCTACCATCTGTTTGTGAGATTAATATTTGTAATCAATCTATTATGGGTGATATTGTTGGGGTTTAAATGTCCACTTTAATGTGTTCATTCTGTCACCTTCAATGTCAAGTATTGAGCTGGCAAAATAGTGATTTGGTTTGGATGGTCAGTTTTTGTTTTTGTTGCCTATTGTGATACATACTGTAGCACTATACTGATTCATTCCTTGTTGGCATGCAGCTACAGTGAATTAATGTTGGTCTGTTATATTGGCCACCCTTTACTCTGCTGCTGTCTTCGTGCTTCTTATTATAGATATAGATTTAATAGTTACCGGTATATAATGAGATGATATATTTTTAAAAAGAAAAGTCTAACTTACTATAAAATTAAAAAAGCATGGCTTTACTCTCTGGCATCTCTGAGTTGTATCCTGTTCGATTCTCACTTAACATAAATTTTGACAGACCAGCTCATGGTTTCATCATTTTACATGAACTAAATAATTAAAATTCTCTTTCTGCTTCGTAACCTAGGAAACAAACATACACTCCATAATATGGATGATGTAGCACTTTAATGAGATTTACTTTATTTTTCAACCTAAGTATGTGACTCTTGTTAGATGACTAAGTTTGAGTCTGATTGTACATTTTCAACATTCATTAGCCTTAACTGCTTGGTTATATATTTATATATATGTTGTTATATTCTATATTTGATTTCATTTTTTTACAAACATATAGGAACTTTTTAAATTTGAAAAAAATGGATGAACCATTTTATTTATTTACATTCATATCAAATGATTCCATTTCATTAAAATAATTTTTTCTTTACATATCCTAATAAACTATTTCAATATTAAATGGGCATAATATTGAGGCAAGGCTGCCTCAGAATCCAGCAGCTAGTTGAGGCAAAGTCTCATTTCCTTTGTTTCCACCTTTGTAACAGCATAAAGGTTTGTTTATTTTTTTATTCACCTCATATGTTTACTTTTCATGCCCAGTATTTTATTAGGTTAAATTTTAAAGCCAGAATTTTTCTTTCTCTTCAATTTTGAAAAAAATTATGTTAGTTTAAAACTCTCATAAATTCATATTTTTAACCTTTAAATGAAGTCAGGCCATTATTTGGTTCCACTTCTAAAGGAAGACAAAGTTCTAATTTGTCCTTAATTAACATATCCATGAATAACTCAATGGTTCATGCAATATATCAATGAATAATGCACTTGTTTCATTTTAAATGGTGTGCCTATGAAATACAAATGCCTTTAAGGAATAAAATAATAAATGCTTAACAGAATGTTGTCTCTTTTTTTTTTTTGTAAGCTGATTAATTTAGTCTTGTATGTGTGATTTGTTTTATCATTAGCTAGTTTGAAAGTATGAACCTAACAGGGGATGGTAAAATTGTTTTTGTTTATGATACCAAGTTCAAAGCTCTTTGGGCCTTTTTTGACTGAAAAAGTCCTAAAATATTGTCCCAGGGGATAAGACAATAAAGAAAAAGATGTCATTATCCTAATATGCACTGTTTATGACACTTAGAAAAGATGAAAAGATACCAACAACAGAGCTAGACAGGCTTTAGATCAGAACCCCCAGGGCACAAGATGTAGAGGAAGACCAATAAGAGCGTGGCGATGCAGTGTACTAGATGAAGCCGAGAGGACAGGAAAGAGCTGGGAAGCCATTAAAAAACTAACAAGAAACCGTGGAGAGTGGCATGTTTTTTTTACTGAGGCTTTGTTCCATGACGAACGCAAAGGAAAGATGATGATGATGGCACTTAGCATTTTTTAAATTTACTTTTTAAATGAATACACAGAATGTGCAAAATCTAATAATCATTATCTGCCCCTTGACTTTAATCCTAGGTGTGCTAAAACAGTTCACATAAATCCCGCCATTTTTTCCCAGTCAGCAGCTGATCTAAGGGAGGATATCAAAGAGAGAGGCTGGTCCAGACAGATTTTCTTTGGACATTCTTTTCCATGTGTGCCTTCCTCTGTACCTTGTAAAAAAACACACCAAAAAACAAAATATATATATATATAACAACAAACTGTAATATGATGTATTACTGTTGAAAGGTTGAAGGTCAATAAACATTCAAACAATAAAAAATTTAAAATACTAAAGGCGTTAGAAGACTATGCATGTATATGTGTACAGTTGACTTTTGATAGTTCGATGGTTACAGAATGAATAGGGGTGTCAGATTAGCAAAAACATCGGATTACCAAAGGTTAGCTCTACTTCAAAGAATTTAACCATAAATGTCAAGAAATTCGAAATATGATATACATGCAATAAGATATGCTTTTAGTCTTTCAAGGGTATAAAGAAATACAAAACATTTAATTGCATCTTTTACATGCTATACTAAGTTGCAATTTAAGCCTATCTACACTCTAAAAATAGACATATTAACTGTATACATTAATTACTTGAATTTACATCTTGCACTGCACTTCAGATTTCTGGGTGTGTTGGATTATAAAGTGTTGAACAATTATAAGTCAATACAATCATTGAAAAGGGAAATAGTCAAGACATAGGACTGTTCTTATCACTTTCAACACAAAACAGTGTCAAGACATAGGGCTGTTGTTATCACTTACAAAACAAAACAGTGTCAAGACATAGGGGCTGTTCTTATCACTTACAAAACAAAACAGTGTCAAGACATAGGGGCTGTTCTTATCACTTACAAAACAAAGCAGTGTCAAGACATAGAAGCTGTTCTTATCACTTACAAAACAAAACAGTTTATTTCACTTTGATAAAATGTAATTACAAGTTGAGATCATTTTATTTTATTGCTTAATTGAAAATAAATTATATATTTTTTCAATAATTTAATTATAATGTAACCAATAATACTGTGTTGAGTACATGACATGATTTATTACACTTGGTGAAATAGTTAATTAGTCTTCTTAATAGCTTCATTCATCAGCTCATGTGTATAATTACTTGTCTAATTGGTTGTTCTTGTTTCGTCACTATGTCTTTTGTGTTTTTTTTTCCACATTTATTGTTGTTCAAATGAAAAAAAAAAAACAAACTAAAGAGGAAATTGCTTTGCAGCGAAAGGTTTGCATTAATATATCAGCAAGCTAACTTGAATGAGCAAAGCCTTTAATAAATGGTGTACTAATACATGTTTGAGGAATAGCTGTACATTTCGTGCAACAATGTATTCATGGCTTAAGAAATAGCGCAATCCGTATTTGTTTTGTCTTCTTATTCTGTAAAACTGAGTTAATTATAATTGTATTGCTAAACTAAAAATTACTAATCTTTTAAAATTTAAGTAGTTTGTAAAGTTTATTTTGTTTTGTTTTTTTATAAAAATAGATGGAGCAGATCTGCGGTTCTGTCAAGGAATCAAATTTAAAACTGACCTTGGCTTTTGGCATTGGCATCCATCATGCAGGTTTGACAGAGAGAGATAGGAAAGTGGTTGAGGAGCTCTTCGTGAATCAGAAAATACAAGTTGGTTTAACTATATGTACACATTTTATTTTGGTTTTACTTTATTTGTTTATTAATTTAAAATATATATTTAAGTTTCTTGGTAAATTGTTATGAAATCTTATGAAATACAGACCCATTATTTAAAAAAAAAAAGATGATTATGTCCTATGCATGTTTTGGTTAGGACAGGTTAGACAGCCTTTAATCCAATATTTTAAATGAAAGGTTGTTTACCTTTTATACTATTTTGTATGCATAATTGGTTTCACATTCTCAGTAATTTAGTAACGCTTTTTACACTCCTAATAATGAACTAAAATCCTGAGTAAAAAAAAATGATTTGGTAGAAAGACACAGTACCATTCCCTCTTAAAATTAATCCTTCTCAGAATTAATTCCCTTTGGTTCTAAACCACTCAGGACTAACCCATCTAAAAGTGAATTTTTGAACACTGTTACTATGCACTGCCATTAATAGTCTATATGCACAGAAGCCAATTTTAAAAAAAATTAGATATA